TTAAACTTTTTGTATCCCAATTAAACTGGCAGGTAATACAATCATTCGCCGATAGCAGACTTCTGAATCTTTGTCATCTCTCCCATTCGGAATAAATTCCATTAAATAGGGGTAAAATCTTGGAAATAGATCCTTATCCAAACCTGACCACTAAGTTCAATGAGAGAGTGATCGAATCACAAACAACTATGCAGATAATTTGCGTCATCGGAAGGCAAAGATACGTGAAAATTAAAACTCGATATGCTGCAGTTGAATTTCAGGAAGTAGGGAGAGGAGGGGTGGGGGGGGGGGGGGGAACAGACGTCCTGTTCCTCGGATAATTTTACAATTCCACGGAAATCCTCTATAAAGCAATTTCAGCTCATGGATTTCTTCTGAATTGAATGCGTTATAGGTGGTCCCATGAAACAACAAGTGAATTCAACTTTTCCGAGGAATTGTTTTGAAAACTACTCTCCAACAGAAATGAACTCTTCAAGTATTCTGAAGGTATTGAGGACAAGGCAGGACTAATGCCCATAGTCATTGAAAGCCCAGGTATATTCATGAATGTTAACTTAACATATGAAGAGGTTTAAGTAATACACAAGAATATTTAGTAAGATTTTATTTTCCAATTGAAAAGAGTTCAGTCCATTTTCCCAAGCAAATGACTCGAGTTAGCTAAAAGTTAATTTATTTCAGTCAAAATCTGTTATTAAAGTTGTGGTAATTGACTAAGCACCACGAAATAGAGCGTTCAGAAATATCTTGAAAAAGCACGAGCATGATTATAAACTAAACGTTAACAATTCTCTTAGAGGGTAAATTGGTTGAAGAGAGGTACAATTGTCCTCCAGTGGAGCCATCTTGCATAAATTGGCCTCAAGCTTAGCTAGACTACGTTCAAAAAAGTGAGAACACATGAGGCGTGGTTTGGAGAGGAAGAGGGAGAGGGAGGGAGAGAGTTGAAGTGAGGAGGCTTGGTAATTGAGAGTACAGGTACAGTACTACACTACAATCACGCACTACCACTCCCACTCGATATGTGATCGGTAGTACATGTGCATTGTCCCGAGGGTTCTACCACACACCGGATCCATTCGGTCAGCACTTATATCACTGCACACAGCGTCAAAATCTAAATGGTTATAAGAAATCACACATCAGATGGTGTTCTGTTGTGACGACAGATTTGACGATTTGATTCAGAAAAAGTAGAGTGTGGTTTGGTAACACCAAATACAAAGCATTTTAAAAAATTTAATGGATTGGAAAATAGCTCAATGTTCAGGAAGTTTTACCCAAAATAACCACAATCTGGGTCTATAACAGCCTTACTTCGTCCCCGTAACGGAACCTGGTGGAAGCCAATCGCACGATTTCTCCCAATGGGGTCTCCAATAAGCTGCTTTAATTCGGGTAATTAAGTGGCTGGCTTTTGTAGTACTACCACAATGATTAGTGTCTTTCTCCTCATTCCCCGATACAATCACACTCGTCCATCGAGTTACGATCTGGAAAAGGTGTAATCATAGAAATTGAAACGCAATTAGTTTTGACGCACCCCTGAGGTGCGACATGGAGCCGAATCCAACCCCCTATATACATGTGCCCTTTTATTGGCTATCCCCAGTCATTATTTAGGGTCTAACTTTCACAGAGGTCAGCAATTTCACACAGATATCTGTATTCAACTTTAGCACCTTACTCAATAAAAGTGATAACGAAGCTACCACATCACCACGACAGTTTGGGAAACTAATTCTGCAAGATTTGAGAAGTTTCCTTGAACAAAATCTAATCTGGTTTTCTACGTCTTGTGCTTCCAATCTTGGCGGGAGTCAATGTCATGGGAAAAGAACTGCATTGCCAGCATTTCACTTTACTTCCCTTTTCTAGGAGATCTGCCGCTCGAGTGCAGTCAGATCAGATGTTCTGTTACATATATTATCTTCTTCTAGTCACGGGTGCCTTGTAGCCTCAATCACAATTCGCCACTCCATATCAGGTTCTTGTCACGACCTTGATTTCCTTTCCCTTTGATGACTGAGCGAAACGCCACTGTACAAATTCCAGTCATTCAGTGTCATTGTTGTCAAGGATGTGAGTGAAGCAAGGTTTAAAGTGTTAAAGGAGGCCGAGTGAGTGTGATCACCCTCAACACCTCTCGACAACACGAACAAACTCAATTCTGAAAAATTTACCCCGAACATCCAGTATATCGATGATAGTTTCGTCTGCTCTCTCTCTCTCCCTCTTCACTTTAAAATGATGCAACTAAATTAACGGAAAGAATTCATTCAGTCAACAGGCTCTGAACTTTTCCTCTGTGGGAATTCGGAATCGAATTTTTACTTGGAATTTAGTCTATCTTACATGACGTTGGCCTAGGTAACTGCACTAAAATCCCAAATGACAACTTGGCGGTCCTGACTTCATCACCTATTTCATTAACCCTCTGTCCTTCACACTTATTTCTTGTTCTGTCATACTCTTAATTGTCATTTCTAAGACACTTTCTAGCCGCACGCAACACATATTTAAGAGCTCATACTTGGTGGCTTGTCATGTAGAGCCCTAAGAATAAACTACATTGCCCACCTAGTGACCTTGAGGATATTTGACGTGTGTTTGGCCTTGACCGGGATAGTGCTCATACTTCATTATCTTAAACAAAAAAGTTAACATGGAAACGAATTGATAATTTTTTATTAATTATTTATAAAGTTTACACATTTATTTTCTTGTAGAGACGTGGAATAAAGTCGATTGAGTTTGCACTTTACGTATTTGTTTGGTAGCAGTAGGAGACAGAGAACTTTGTGCGTACGGGTACGCAATAATGAAAAACGTGTAAAAATTCCCTATTTATAAAACTGTGGGGACAAAGATTAACACCCACCCCCACCCAAAAGAATTTTTGATTAGGACCGCACCTGCAAAATTTATATCTCAAGACATTCGAAACAAATGAGACAGTGAGAGAATCACACTTTGACAGAGCAAAATGTAACTACTTTACTTAGATATTTGATACAAACGTAAAAAAATATTTTTATTATTTATTTATTTATATCAAATGGCAGGCTTTATGATAGCTATCATTAGTCCTTTAGTTGACTTCGTTCTTCAAATCAAGGTGACAAAAAGTCGAGAGTGGGAACAGAAGAGGGATTCAAAAATGTAAAAAAGACAGACACAAAGGTAGAGAGGAAAAGGTGAGGTGAGTACTGTGAAAGTGATGGAATATGGCATACAGTCGTTTGAAGTCAGAAGTCAACTTCCTATTTATAAACTTTTTGCCGTATGAGCATACGTTGCCCAGGGTGCACCGCATGGAAGTAAGTCTATCGCGTATCCACTTTTTTTATTATAATAAACTCAATAATGCTTCAGGCAAAGTATTGCTTGCTAATATAATTCTGGAGAAATGACTAAAATTTTTAAGTTCAACTTTAAGTAAATTGTCTTTTAAAACTTTGGATAGGAAAGAGAGACTCGGAAAAGTATCAAAGTGGGAAGTCACGTTCTGCACTCCTTCTATTGTCCACTTTTGAGCAAGCAGCTGAAATAATCGTTAAAAGGAACGCCGCCACGAATTAAACATGGATCCAACTCTCAAAATCCTCTTTTGTTTTCTAGAATACCCGTCATGTCATGTCGCACAAAATAAGCACTTTGTCATTGTCACTGTGGTTGGCCCTCAGGCGATAGGTTATTGGGTTAATTATATAGTAGTAGCCCCCTTGTTGGGGAGGGGGGGAGTTTGTGCATTGGTGATGACGTTATTATTACCCATGGCAAAGTGCGCGCGTTTGATGCCATTCAAAATGACAGCTTCAAAGAAGTAACACGCACCTTCGTTAACCGACCGCTTTAACTATGAAAAATAGGTACATATGAATGTCCTTTCCCCTTACTCCAGTACCCCCGTCTGCTTGTTAAGGGAATCTCACAACAAAAAGATAAACCTTCGTTATCGCGTTAGTAGCATCTACAGTCTACCCAGCTGAAGCTAATAAAAACGTCCTAGCTGTGCAATAATCGATAAACAATGCGTGTCTTAGCTTGGGATCGATTATTTAACTTATACATGCGAACACCTGTTTAAAAAAATAGAGTGCACTTTAACGTCTTCCCCTGTCACTGGAATAACAAAATACCAACCGGGGTAACTGCATAAATTCTTATCCCAGAACTGGAAATAACAGTGCACTCTAGGTGGACAAAAAAATTAATAAATAAGATCAGTACTAAGGTCACTAATTAACGAGGTTTTAAGCAAAAATATCCTGAATGTTACTGGTAGGAAATTTACACTTGCAAAAATGGCAGTGATCTTTATAAACTCCCTAAAATCGAAATGTCAAACTTCTCGCCAGTTATAGGGGGAGGTTAATGCCAAATACTGATCCTTTTCGGTGTACACATTAATTAACAAGATTTTCTTGCCAGCTGAATTCAAATAACATTAACCTTTAAGAGGATTCGATTAAGTTAATCGAAATGGCATTCGTACTAGCTATCTGGATAATGTGTTTAATTATTAACAAATTAAAAGCAGACAAATATGTCCACTGATTTCAAAGCCTATGAAGTAATGCTGCTTAAATTTTCTTCTTATTGAAAATCTTTTCCTATTTGATAAAACACAGTTTGTTTCCTGATTCCCAATGACATATCCCCTAAATTCCATCTTTATTTAAAAAACGACTTGTTACCTTTAAAAGTCTGATCAAAATGAAGGAAGCATATTGATTTTATAACAATAAATAACAATATTGTTCGAACTTCGATAAGTTCAGTTGTAACTAACATGAAATCGCCTCATTTTGATTTTTAGCAATGAAGGTACTATCAGTTAGCACATTAATAAACGTAGCGATATTTAAATCATACCAATTTAGTTTAAGACATGGGTTAAAAATATCAATTAGGCATGATTAATTTGCACTAAAGTGCTCTTCGTCCAATCAGAAGTAGAATTACCCTTCAAGGCCGTTTTCTATTGGTCTATGTCAAATTTAGCGCGAACCAATTGGGTGCGTTGCCCCAAGACTATAGGCTTCCTAAGGTGCGTTAGTATGCCCAATTTCCTAAGGGCATAGAGTCCAAGCAAGCTTGTGTGCTGTTGACGATTCATATCGGAAACCCATGCTTACAAAAATGTTTCTAGGTTGTCTTCTCTTCTTCCTTTCCAGTATCCACGCCTCTAATGCCTTCTCGCCATCATTTGCCCCCACTTTCGATGTTATTGAGGAATGTCTACCTCGAACTCTCATCTCCGGGGTAGCTGAATACCTCAAACAAATCATGTTGGTTACCGTGGAGATGCCCAACTCTACATCTTACCAATTAATGGGAACGGATCCTTTTACGAAAAGTTTTGATATCAATCCTAAAACTGGTGAACTTCGGACAGTAGGTCGCATTGATCGGGAATCCATCTGCGTGCCCGATGTGACTTCTAGAAATGACATCGGGATTGATTCAAGTTGCTTGAAGTCCCTTAATGTGTTGATAAATTCTCATGGTATTGATCAAGCCGCACGGTCCAGTATACGCAAACAGATAATGCTAAAAATAATCGATATCAATGATAACACTCCAAATTGGCCAGGGAAACGAATCCTTACAGTAAAATTCGTGGAGGCATTTCAATCTGGACCCTCCTTTGGTAAACAAGAAGTGACCACTCAGTCGCAATTACTCGATCGTGCTGTAGATCCAGATGCTGGGCCAAATGGGACCATCTCGTATTCTTTAAAGGGCACAGGAGCAGATATGTTCCGCCTTGAGTACTCTGATCTTGAAAATGGTCGATATGACCAACAAGATAGTAACAGTCCCCTGAGACTAAAGCCTGTAGTTCCACTTGACCGCGAAACGTTTGAGTACTATAATTTGACACTTTATGCCTTCGATGCTGGAAATCCCCGGCGATCATCCAGTATTCAACTGGAAGTCTACGTTACGGATTTCAATGACCATGCTCCTGTGTTTCACAGTTATAATTCCGGACATTCAGCTTATTCTCGGGATAACAAGCAGGGAGATTCGGGTAGAATTATTCTAGAGAGAACACATCTTATGGAAACAGCGAGGATTGGAAGTGAGGTACTTCGACTGAACGCTACAGATAAAGACTCTGGGGAGAATGCACGAATTACTTACTCTATTTTCCCAGGCGACGCAACTCTAGTTCAGCCTTACTTTGATTTGGATCCAATTTCTGGTATTCTACGCGTGAGACAGAGACTGGATTATGACTTAGGACCGAGAAAATTCAAATTTAAGGCAAGAAATTGATTTAATCATGTTTATATCGTTAACATGCCACTAATCTTACTAAAGTACTTTTCTTCAAATTGAGATCAGCCAAACCACTTCTTTGAGTGCAAGACTCGATCAATTTTGTCAATAGATAACTAAACCTATTTCTGGCTAAGACTTCAAACCATTTTCAAGTCTGGTTCTATACCGAAAAAACGAGTTGTTAAAAAGTAAGGGAATTCCGTTATTACGCCAAGCAGTATAAGCATAGTATACTATCGGTTGAAAACGGTCATTTCCTGTTCACAGCCCCGCGCGTCACAAAACGCCCATCCGGTTAAGTGTCGTAGCTTGTTGGCCTTCCATCACCTCTTCCTGTTCCCC